CCCAGAATTTTACGTCCAGCCAAACTAAGCTTCATAAGCAAAGGAAAAATAAAATATTTTGCGAACAAACAAGCACTCAGAGATTTCATCACCACCAGGCCTGCTTTACAAGAGCTTCTGAAAGAACCACTACACATAGAAAGGAACAACCAGTATCAGCCTTTCTAAAAAATACCAAAAGCAAAGAGCATCAACATAATCAAGAATTAGCATCAACATAATCAAGAATTCACATCAACTAATGGGCAAAACAGCCAGCTAACATTAAATGGCAGTATTAAACTCACATAAATTATTATTAATTCTAAATTTAAATCGACTAAATCTCCCAATCCAAAGACACAGACAGGCAAAAAAAAGCCAAAACCCATCGGTATGCTGCATCCAGACCCATCTCACATGCAAGGATACACAAAGACTCAAAATAAAGGGATGGAGAAAGATTTACCAACCAAATGGAGAGCAAAAATAAATAAATAAAAAGCAGGAGTTGCAATTTTTGCCTCTGATAAAATAAACTTCAAAGCAACAAAGATCATAAGAAGCAAAGAAGGACATTACATAATGATAAAAGGATCAATGCAACAAAAAGAGCTAAAGATCCTAAATATATACGCACCCAATACAGGAATACCCAGATATATAAGATTATAAAGAGACTTGGACTCCCACACAATAATAGTGGGAGACTTCAACATCAATATTAGACTGATCAATGAGACAGAAAATTCACGATATCCAGGATTTGAACTAAACTTAATTAACATTTATAGAACTCTCCACTTTAAATACACAAAATATACACTGTTATCAGCACCACATCACACCTATTTACAGGTTTATATGAAATACTGGTTGGCTGCTGGTTTGTTATTTTCTTCTCTCATTTTTCCTGTCTTTATTATTAAGCACAGTTACAGGCATACCCATTTTTAGACTGCATTCTAGCCCGGGCAATAAAGCAACACCCCCGTTCTCTCCCCCTCTTTCTCTTCCTCTGTCTTCCTCTTCTTGAAAAAAAAATATATATCTAAGCACTGGCCAGGCATGGTGGCTCACACCTTTAATCCCAGCACTTTAGGAAGTGGAGGCTGGAAGATCACCTGAGGTCAGGAATTTGATACCAGCCTGGCCAACATGCTGAAATCCCGTCTCTACAAAAAATACAATAATTATGCTGGACGTGGTGGCTCACGCCTGTAATCCCAGCTACTCGGGAGGCTGAAGCAGGAGAATCGCCTGAACCAGGGAGGCGGAGGTTGCAGTGAGCTGAGATCATACCACTGGATTCCAGCTTAGGCAGCAAGAGCGAAACTCCGTCTCAACACAAACAAAGTTAGCCAGACATGGTGGTACATGCCTCTAATCCCAGCTACGCAGGAGGCCGAGGCAAGAGAATTGCTTGAACCTGGGAGGTGGAGGTTGCAGTGAGCTGACACTGTGCCACTGCACTCCAGCCTGGGTGACGGGGCGGCACTCCATCTCACAAGTATCAAAGCACCTTCAAACTCTACAGTTCCAAAACCGGAATTCGTTATCCACTCCCATATTTAAAAGAAAGCTTGGGCCAGGCGCAGTGGCTCACGCCTATGATCCCAGCACTATGGGAGGCCGAGGCAGGTGGATCACAAGGTCAAGTGATCAAGACCATCCCGTCCAACATGGTGAAACCCCATCTCTACTAAAGATACAATACATTAGCTGGGCATGGTGGTGTGTGCCTGTAATCCCAGCTACTCAGGAGGCTGAGGCAGGAGAATTGCCTGAACCCAGGAGGCGGAGGCTGTGGTGGAGCCGAGATCGCGCCATTGCACTCCAGCCTGGGTAACAAGAGCGAAACTCCGTCTCAAAAAAAAAAAAAAAAAAGCAAGCTCGTCTCCCAGTGTTCCCTGTCTTAGTGAGTGGTGATGCCACATGAGAGTGCTCTCCGCTTCCTTCACACACCCCACTATCTGATTTATTTATTTTGAGACATAGTGTCCCTCTGTTGCCCAGGCTAGAGTGCAATGGTGCAATCTTAGCTCACTGCAACCTCCACCTCCCAAGTTCAAGTGATTCTCCTGCCTCAGCCTCCCGAGTAGCTGGGATTACAGGCACCCACCACCATGCCCGGCTAATTTTTGGATTTTTTTTTTTTTTTTTTTTTTTGAGATAGAGTTTCGCTCTTGTTACCCAGGCTGGAGTGCAATGGCGCGATCTCGGCTCACCGCAACCTCCGCCTCCTGGGCTCAGGCAATTCTCCTGCCTCAGCCTCCTGAGTAGCTGGGATTACAGGCACGTGCCACCACACTCAGCTAGTTTTTTGTATTTTTAGTAGAGACGGGGTTTCACCATGTTGGCCAGGATGGTCTCGATCTCTTGACCTCGTGATCCACCCGCCTCGGCCTCCCAAAGTGCTGGGATTACAGGCTTGAGCCACCGTGCCTGGCCCTAATTTTTGGATTTTTAGTAGAGATGGGGTTTCACTGTGTTGGCCAGGCTGGTCTGGAACTCCTGACCTCAAGTGATCCTCCCACCTCAGCCTCCCAAAGTGCTGGGATCACAGGTGTGAGCCACCACGCCAGCCCCGATCATTGATTTCACCCGGTCCTGACACTGTGCCTCCTGAAGCTCTCTGCACTCCAGCCACGTCACCCACCTCCAGTCACTGAGAGCACCACGGAAGCCATCAGGCTGTCTGTGGTCAGCAGAAGCGTGTCCAAGGCCATCCCCATCCTCGTCCCCAGGCCTGTGAGTATGTCACCCTAGATGAAAAAACAGACTTGCAGACGGATTAAGGGTGCTGAGTTGGGAGACTGTCTGATCACCCCAGTGGCCCAGGGTCGTTACAGTGTTCTGGACTGAGGGGGCAGGAGGGTGAGGGTCAGAGACTGAAGATGCTGTGCTGTGGGTTCTGAAGATGAAAGGCCCCACCCCCAACCCCTTACCAGGGAGGCAAGTGCCTCCAGGTGCCGGCAAAGGCGTGAAAGGGGCTCTCCCTCGGGGCCTCTGGAAGAAGCGGCCCTGCTGATCCTTTGAATTAAGCCCAGTGAGACTCACTTTGGACTCCAGCCTCCTGGACGATAAGGGAATAAATGTGCATTCTTCTTCTGTTTTTGTTGTTGTTTCTGAGACCGAGTCTCTCAGCCTCTGTTGCCCAGGCTAGAGTATAGAGGTGCGATCTCGGCCTTCTGCAGCCTCAACCTCCCAGGTTGAAGAGAGCCTCCTGCCCCGGCCTCCTGAGCAGCTGGGATCACAGGCACGAGCCACACCACACCCAGTTAATGTCTGTATTTTTAGTAGAGATGGGGTTCTGCCACGTCAGCCAGACCTCAAACTCCTGACCTCATGATCCACCTGCCTTGGCCTCCCAGGGTGCTGGGATGACAGGTGTGAGCCACCACACCAGGCCCGCGCAGTTTTAAGTCACCCGGTTTGTGGGCATCTGTTACAGCAGCTACCGGATGCTAAGATGGGAGCTGTCTCTGTCCATTGGCCCTCCTGTAACAAAGTACCGCAGACTGGTGGGTTCCACACAACACAAGTTTATTTCCCACAGTCCCGGAGGCTGCAAGGCTATGATCAGGGTGTCAGCACGGTCAGGTGCTGGTGAGGGGCGCTATGGGGCCAGCAGGGTCAGGTGCTGGTGAGAGGGGGCTGGGGGGCCAGCACGATCAGGTGCTGGTTATGGGAGGGGGAGTCAGCATGGTCAGGTGCTGGTGAGGGGCGCTATGGGGTCAGCAGGGTCAGATGCTGGTGGGAGGTGCTGGGGAGCCAGCAGGGTCAGGTGCTGGTGACAGGGTGCTGGGGTGGCCAGCACGGTCAGGTGCTGGTGATGGGGGGTTGTGGGGGATCAGCACAGTGAGGTGCTGGTGACGGGGGGTTGTGGGGGATCAGCACAGTGAGGTGCTGGTGACGGGGGGTTGTGGGGGATCAGCACAGTGAGGTGCTGGTGACGGGGGGTTGTGGGGGATCAGCACAGTGAGGTGCTGGTGACGGGGGGTTGTGGGGGATCAGCACAGTGAGGTGCTGGTGACGGGGGGTTGTAGGGGATCAGCACAGTGAGGTGCTGGTGATGGGGGTCTTCCTGGTCACACACCGTCTGCTCTCCGTGTCCTAACATGGCAGACATGGCCCAGTCTCTAGGCCTCCTTCCTAAGGACACCAACCCCAAGCATGACAGCTCTGCTCCATAACCTCATCGCCTCCCGGAGGCCTTACCTCCTGATACCATCACCTCGAGGGTGGGAGTTTCAACACATTAATTTGGGGGAGACAGATGTTCAGACCATAGCAGGGACTGTGGGCCTTTTCCTAACCTGAGCCTCAGTCTCCACGTCTGTGGAACGGGGACAGGGACAATCCCTCCATCATCAGGTTGCTGTAAAGATCAGTAAGGTGGTCGGCGCAGCGGCTCTCACCTGTAATCCCGGCACTCTGGGAGGCCGAGGCGGGCGGATCTCCTGAGGTTGGGAGTTCAAGACCAGCCCGATCAAGATGGAGAAACCCTGTCTCTACCAAAATTACAAAAAAATTAGCTGAGCGTGGTAGTGGGCACCTGTAATCCCAGCTACTCAGGAGGCTGAGGTAGGAGAATCGCTTGAACCTGGGAGACAGAGACTGGGGAGAGGTGAGATCACAACACTGCACTCCAGCCTGGGTGCCGAGAGCAAAACTCTGTCTCAAAAAATAAAATAAAAGATCCATATGTTGTGCAGCGGGTGTCAGCTGGTTTCACTGTGGCTCATTCTGGCTCCAAAGCGCCTGTGGGCCCTCAGGAGGAGCAGATGAGCAGGTCTGAATTTTAGAGGTTCCAAGGGCACTCGAGACGGTCAATAAGTGACTTGGAAAATAAACAGCTGTACAAATCGCAGGTTGGATGCAAAAATAAATATTATTGTCCTCCTCATCCTTCTCTCAGCCTTCCAGCCCGCCCTCCCTTCTCCGGGACAAAAGGCTCAGAACAATCATCACATACACAGGGTTAGGATGCCTGAGGGTGTTTACTGGGAGCCAATGTCTTAGAAGCTGGGCCTGGGGGGCTCACACTTTTCTGGTGATGCTTTTGGGGGTGGCGAGCTCATAGAGGCGAGGGGACGCCCGGGCCACCAGCGCAGCAGGAGAGATGTAATAGGGGTCGTAGCCCTCATTGAGGCCCTTGCGCACTTTGGGCCTGGCCAGGGAGATGATCCGGGGACTGGCCACCACCTTCTTGGTGACATCCAGCACCACCCAGCGAGGATCTCGGTCAGGAACACACTTGTCCGACTGAGCTTTGGGCACTAGAGGGGGCAGAAGAGAAGGGATGGCACTGGAGCTCAGACCTCATAAAAGCTCCACATTCGGGCCGAGCATGGGGGCTCACGCCTGGAATCCCAGTACTTTGGAGGCCGAGGTGGGAGGATCACCTGAGGTCGGGGAGTTCAAGACCAGCCTGGCCAACGTGAAACCCCAAACCCCATCTCTAACTAAAAATACAAAAATTAGCCGGGTGTGCTGGTGCATGACTGTAGCCCCAGCTACTTGGGAGGTTGGGGCATGAGAATCACTTAAACCCGGGAGGCAGAGGTTTCAGTGAGCCAAGACCGTGCCACCCCAAATTTTTGTATTTTTAGTAGAGACGGGATTTCACCATGCTGGCCAGGCTGGTCTCAATCTTCTGACCTTGTGATCCGCCCGCCTCGGCCTCCCAAAGTGCTGAGATTACGGGCGTGAGCCACCGCACCTGGCCCGTGTTTTTAATTTTTATGTATTTATTTATTTTGAGACAGAGTCTTGCTCCGTCACCCAGGCTGGAGTGCAGTGGGTGATCTTGGCTCACTGCAACCTCCACCTCCTGGGTTCAAGCGATTCTCTTGCCTCAGCCTCCTGGGTCGCTGGGACTACAGGCGTGCGCCACTGCACCTGGCCTATTTCATTTCATTTTATCATTTTATTTCGAGGCAGGGTCCTGCTGGGTGGCCCAGGCAGGAGTGAAGCAGCACCATCATGGCTCACTGCAGACTCAGCCTGACTTGAACTTCCAGCCTCAAGAAATTCTCCCGCTTCAGCTCCCGAGTAGCTGGGACTACAGTCACGTGCTGCCACACCAGGCTATGAAATGCACACTTTGAAAACCTGCATTACAGGCTGGGTGTGATCGCTCACGCCTGTAATCCCAGCTCGTTGGGAGGCCGAGGCAGGCGGATCACTTGAGGTCGGGAGTTCAAGACCAGCCTGACCAACATGGAGAAACCCCTACTCTACTAAAAATAAAAAATTAGCCGGGCGTGGTGGTGCACGCCTGTGGTCCCAGCTACTTGGGAGGCGGAGGCAGGAGAATCGCTTGAACCCGGGAGGCGGAGGTTGCAGTGAGCTGACATGGAACCACGGCACTCCAGCCTGGGCAACAAGAATGAAGCTCCATCTCAAAACAAAAAAAAGCCGGTGAATTATACAGAAAAAATATTTCAAATGGTCACAGGCACCAGGCTCAGAGACACCTGCCTGTGACTCCAGCACTTCCGGAGGTGGAGGCAGGAGGATCACTTGGGCCCTAGAGTTTGAGGCCAGACTGAGAAACACGGCAAGACCCCAACTCTGAAGAAAAAAATAATGGCCACAGGTACCTGAAAGGGGACTCGGGGGGCCACAGCCAAGAGGGCTCAAGTCTCCTCATCCTGTGGCCAACCCGAGTGACCCTGGTGGCTGGTGGGTGGGGGCTCAGTCTGCCCTTCCACCCCTTCTCCACCTGCTAATGTCACGGTGGCAGGTGGACTGGGCAGGGGGCATCTCCTCCAGCAGGCAGGTGTCTTGTCCTGCTCCTGGTGGCTGTCCCTCAGGCACCTGTGTCCCCGCCTCCTGGTACCCCCACCTCCCCGGCTCTCCCCCACCCCTTCCGTTACAGCAGGGAGCAGCAGCAGACTGCTCGGACACTAGGAAGGGCGCCACCCAAGCCAGCCGCAGTAGCTGGGGCCATCCTCCACCTTGTCTCTTGGGGCCTCAGGGCCTTTGACTTCTCGGGGAGCTACCACCTTCTCTCCAAATGCCTCTTTGCTTGGAGCAGGAGAATGAGGGCCACCCACCTCCTGGGCGAGCAGCCCGGCACCGTGAACTGCCTCGGGGAAAAGAGTGTGGGGTTTCTTCCACCAGGCAGGAGAACCCCTGCAGGCACGTGGCTGGGCAAGGTCATCTGAACAGAGACAGAGCAGTGCCGACGCACTGACAGACAGGGAAACGTGGGTTCACGGCAGCGCCTTAGCCTGTCCACACACACACACACACACACACACACACCACACACTGTCACACACACACTCACACACACTCACAGTCTCACACACATCCCACACACTCACTGTCACACACTCACACACACTCACACTCACACACCACACACTCACTGTCACACACACACACACTCACTGTCACACACACACACCACACCGTCACACACACACTCACACACCACACACTGTCACACACACAACACACACTCACTGACACACACACACACCACACAGTCACACACACCACACACTGTCACTCACACACACACCACACACACTCTCTCACACACACACCCCAGACACTGTCACACACACCCCACACTGTCACCCACACTCACTGTCTCACACACACACACCACACACTGTCACACACACACACACACCCCACACACTCATACCACATACCACACACACACAGTGAATATAAACATGGGTACACAGCACTGCAGCCTGTCCTCACACAGTCACACACATACACACTCACCACACACCACACACACACACACACACAAACACACATACTCACAAACACACACTCACACACACATCCTGAACATAAACACTGCCACCCTGGTATGGGTACGACTGTTTCTCTGGCCCCTGCTCTTCACCCTAAGTGTCTCTCCTGCACCTTCTGGGCGGATGGCAGCCCTGCCTGGCCGACACCCCTGTGCAGGGTAAGGGGCCGAGCAGTGGGGCCCTGGTGGCCCTACGGGGGCTGGAAGGGCCATGCCCAGAACCCGGCCCCCTTTGAACTCCTCTGTGAGAACTCAGGAAGCATCTGGGCTTCGGCAGCATCTGGGCAGTGCCAGCTGAGTTTCTGGCACTCTCACGGCGGTGACTGAGCCCACATGGCACGTGTGAGCGAACGCAGAGGAACAGCCCAGCCGCAAACCCGCTCTCACCCGCAGGTCAGTGCTCCGCATCTGCCCGCCTGCTGCACGTTTTCAAAATGCTGGTCCCGACCGGGCGAGGGTGAAGCCCACTGTCTTCCGCTATCCTCACACACACGCCCACAGGGACAGACGCACATCTGAAACACGGATGCATGCACACACACGTGTATGGACCAGCATGTCGGCATCTGTATCCGTGACGCGTGTGTCTGTGGTGAGCGCACGGGTGTGCGGGACGGCTGGGGCGGTGCTATGGTGGCACTCAGCTGTTCCCGTGCATTTCACTCATCATTTCACAGACGTCAAGGGGGTGGATGAAAGAATGAACAAATAAACAAGAAAAGGCCCCACAAGTGAAGTTAAAAGACAAGACACAGCCTGGGAAGAACTTACGGTGCCTGTGTTCACCGAGGGATTAGTAGCCACATTATATAAAGAGCTGCCACGTTAGACAAAGAGCTGCTCCCAATCTACAACCCAAAACGCCAGGCCTCAGGAACCTGGGAAAATGATGCCAAAGGGTAAACCTAAATGGCCAAGCAGCTTCTCCACAGCTCCTGTCGTTAGCGAAATGCGTATTCAATTTGTTCCAAAGGACAGGAAGGGAGTCAGGCCAACACCCATTTCTCTTTGCTTTTTTTTTTTTCTTTTTTTGAGACATTGTTCCACTCTTTTTGCCCAGGCTGGAGTGCAATGGCACGATCTTGGCTCACCACAACCTCCACCTCCTGGGTTCAAGCAATTTTTCTGCCTCAGTCTCCCGAGTAGCTGGGATTAAGGGCATACCTCATCACGCCCAGCTAATTTTGTGTTTTTAATAGAGACGGGATTTCTCCATGTTGGTCAGGCTGGTCTCGAACTCCTGACCTCAGGGGATCCGTCCATCTCGGCCTCCCAAAGTGCTGGGATAACAGGCATGAGCCACCGTGCCCGGCCACGCCAACACCCACTTTAAAGCTGCCTTTGTACCGTAGCGTGGCTCTCTGGCCCCTGCTCTGCCCCCTAACTTTCTCCTGTACACCTTCTTTCCCTGCTAGGGAACCCACTCAGGCAACACCCTGTGCTTCCAGATGACACTCCCGGTGATTTCTGCTTCTCTTTCCTGGGGGAGAGCTTCCTGCTGCCTGCTCTAGGCAGAGGTCTAGGGTGTCCCCAGGATTCGACGGGACGTCGGAAGCGCCTCATCTGAGGCACTCACTTACTGGCCAAGTGAAGGAGGCGGTTATAGTCTGACACATGTGGCTTGGGTTTCGGCATGGGGTCCCACTCTTCCAGCAGGGTGGCCGGGGCCTTCGGCTTTGACAGCTGGAGGATCCGGGAGCTGGGGACTGCCATTTGGGCCGCCCTGGATACCCGGGACACCTGCAAACAGAAAGAGGGAAAAGGAGTAAAACAGCCCATGATTCCTCATGGGCCCTGGGGCAAAAGGACCCCACAGCCGACACTAAGAGCCAAGAGACAGACTGGAAAGAACCTAGTTTGTAAGGTGTTCAAAGGATTAGGAACTATCATATATAAAGAGCTCCACCAAACCAATAACCAAAAAAACCCCAAAGGGCAGAGCAAATGCTACAGGAGACGAACCCTAAAGGGTCAACAACCCTGTCTTCTGACCCATTAATGCCAACAGCTGTTGGCAAATGTAAATTAAAACAGAATGTCACTCCAGGCTCACAGCTTTGGCACAACCAAGAAGTCTGACATTATCAAGCCCTGGGGAGAATGTGGGAGGGAGAGACTCCGTGCAGGGCTGGTGGGAGAGTAAGTTCATACAAGCGCTTGGATCCACTCGGCCCAGGCGAACAGTCGTCACTAGGTGACTGCCGGACACAGGGACTCCTGCCCTCACCCAGGGACCTGCGTGCGGGGAGGTGCCGTGAGCTGTCGCCACCCACACCCCCCACAGAGAGCGGCCCCCGCAGGTGAGTGATCGCCCACACCCCAGGGAGCTGGGCGCAGCCGCCTGGGTCAGCTTGGGCTGACTGCGGCCCATTCCCAAGACGGGGCCACCCAGCAGTAGGGCCACTTTTTCTCCACAGATCACCACGAACTGCTCTAGAAAACAATAGTGAGGGAAAGCAAGACAGACACCTTTTACGGTCCCGAAAACCACGGCACCCGGACAGAGGGAATGGGGCGTGACAACGGTGGCCGTGGGGTGAGGTCACGCAGACGCTTCCCCCGGAACCCTGGCACGCTTGCTCACAGGTAAATTCTCAGCCGTGGCCAGCGCAGTGGCAGCACTCTGGGAGGTCCACGTGGGTGGATCCCTTGAGCCCAGGAGTTCAAGACCAGCCTGGGCAACATAGCAAGACCCCATCTCCACACACGTGCTTGGCATTTTCCAGAAAATCCGCAGTCCACCGTCAGCATGTTCTTTATCCTTCGCCCCAGCCTCCCCAAAGACAAGTACCGGGACGCTGCCCGGACACCTGAGACTGGAGCCAGCCTCTCCCCCTCCTCACAGGCGCCCTGCTCCCCCTTTGCCAGCCGGCTGGCTCCCGGACGTGTGTGTAGGAGACCGCCTGCAAAATAAGTAAGGAGTAGGCAGGGACCCTTCACACATCTCCCACTTATCCTTTGCTGGGAGAGGAGCTGGCCACTCCCGACGCCTCTGGGGCGGGCGGAGGAAGGGAAGGCAGCTGCTGATACGTTTTATTCCCTAAAAGGGAAGAGGCAAAGGCCGACCCACGCCTCCCAGATGCTCCCGAGTCTCCGTCCTCCCCCGCGTTACCTGAGAGTCTCAGCTAGAGACAGAGGATGAAACCAAACCACCCCACCCGCTAAGGGTCACTGTGAAATTTCAGTCCCCTTTCCTCCTGAAATTGCTCCCTCGTAAAAATCACAGACACATCTCTCTGCAAAGACGCATGGTGTTTCCGATCTAACCTCTGACTCCCCGGTCCTCCCATCTCTCCCCACCAGCCCTGAGGGCAAAGTGATCTCCGGAAAGGCCGCAGCAAACCACGAAGGCAGGGCCCCGTGCAGGTGCGGGGGAGCCACGGACAGGCTCGGGTGGGACTCCGGATTTGGCCCCGGGCAGAGTGTCCCAGCGGTGGCCTGGGAAAGGGACAGGAGCAGCTGGGCACGGGTTAGAGACAGGTGGGCGGGGTGTTCCCGGCAGCAGGAACTGCCTGGCAAAGGCCTGGAGGCTTGTTGAGGAATTTACACTTCTTTTGATGACAGACCCCATCCTGAGGGTGGGGGCGAAGAGAGGAGAGGTCAAGGGCCAGTTTTGTATTTTTAGTGGAGATGGGGTTTCTCCAAGTTGGTCAGAACTCCCGACCTCAGCCGATCCGCCCGCCTCAGCCTCCCAAAGTGCTGGGATTACAGGCCTGAGCCAAGGGGCCGGCTTGTTATTTATTTTTTAGTGTTATCAGTGTTACTGTGATTGTGTTTTAAAATGAAAAAATAAAATAAAATGTCCTTGTCTGATAGGCCAGGCAGTGGCTCACGCCTGTAATCCCAGCACTCTGGGAGGCTGAGGCGGGCGGATCCCCTGAGGTCAGGAGTTCCAGACCAGCCTGGCCCACATGGTGAAACCCGCCTCTACTAAAAATACACACACACAAAAAAAAAATTAGCTGGTCTTGGTGGCGCACACCTGTAGTCCCAGCCACTCGGGAGGCCAAGGCAGGAGAATCGCTTGAATGGGAGGCCGAGGTTGCGGTGAGCTGAGATCGCACCACTGCACCCAGCCTGGGGTCAGAGCCAGACGGTGTCAAAAAAAAAAACAAAACAGCAGCTCCCAAAGGGAAGCAGCCACCCGGGCCGCTCTGGAGCCGGCCCCCCTACCCAACCCTGACTGCAGAGGCCGAGTGTCTTACACCATCTGCCCTTCCCAGCACGCCTGGTGGGGGTGAGGCCCGGGGGCACGGGTACCCATCTCAGACATGTCCACGCCCCAGGGCACGGGCACCCACCTCAGACATGTCCACGTTCCAGGGCACGGGCACCCACCTCAGACATGTCCATGCTCCAGGGCACGGGCACCCACCTCAGACATGTCCATGCTCCAGGGCACGGGCACCCACCTCAGACATGTCCACGCTCCAGGGCATGGGCACCCACCTCAGACATGTCCACGCTCCAGGGCACGGGCACCCACCTCAGACATGTCCATGCTCCAGATGTTGTCCCGAATCTTCGGGACGGCCAGTTCCTTCAGGCGACGTGACGCTCGGTATTCCAGGGAGGACCGCGGAATGGGCCAGACGGGAGTCGTCCTAAGGGATGTCCCCATGTTAGACCGGCAGCCTGGCCGGCCTCGGGGAGGGGTGTGTCTGTGGGTGTGTGTGTGTGTGTGTGTGTGTGAGAGAGAGCACAGCCTGGCCGGCCTCGGGGAGGGGTGTGTCTC